ACAACCCTGATATGTTGTCATATCAGCGAAGAAATACCACACTGCTTTCTGATTTTGGTTCACGCCGCCAAATCAGTGCTGCATTTATTCCACTAATTCTTTTGTTCTGCAGCCTTGGGAAGACTGCTGCAGATATCCATGCCCTCAGAAATCACCTGACACTGATTTGGATCAGGTTGACAAGTCACTGCCCCCCTCAATCTGTCACGCTGGCATCTTTCCAGGTGCTAGGGGACAGATGGAGAGGGGCTCTTTTCTTGGATCACCTTTTCCCCTCTGCTCGAGAATGTGCTACATGTTAAATATAAGGCAGGGAGAGATGAAGGCTCACGGAGTCCTGCTCTGTGAGGCATGTGAGGCAGTACTCTTTTGCCATCTTGTGGTCAAATGTAGTAACTGTCCCATAGTTAGTAGACACAGTGATACATTGACTCACCTTGTAAATTCTCCTCTTTGTACCTGGTGAATTTAGCCATAATACTTTATTAATCTACTTGGTTGAATCACACAGGAGATGTTTATTAAGGAAAATAGACAAGTTAGAGATTTTATTGTTGTTTGTCTTGACATTGAAATGTGAACCATGTAAAAGTGACTGCACTTTGAAAAGCATGGAATCCAGTGTGCACCCCAAAAATACTGACTTAACTGTTTGATTAAAATCAATTAATAAATTATTTATTCATTCATTTTCCGGAATCGCTTATCCTATTAGGGGTCATGGGGGATCTGGAGCCTATCCCAGCTGACAATGGGTGAGAGGCAGGGTACACCCTGGACAGGTCACCAGACTATCGCAGGGCGCACATACGGACCATTCATGCTCATATTCACACCTACAGACAATTTAGAGTCACCAAATAACCTAATCTGCTTTTTTTTTTGATTGTGGGAGGAAGCTGGAGCAGCCTGAGAAAACCCACGCTGACATGGGGTGAATGTAAAAATAAATAAATTATTAATTAATTAATAAAAAGGAGCAAGCCATAGCTTTTATGCAAGGGAAGCAGACAGTATAAAGATGTTTTTGTTGTTGTTTCTTTTGAAATTAAGATGTAAATTATGTAAAAGAGACTGTGGCTGCAAAGTATGGAGTCCAGTGTGTGTCCAAAATAAACACATTCTAGAGCATTTAAACAAAAGGCTGTTGACATCAAAAGTCATCATGCCAAACAACAAGCGTAGTGGTTTGTTCATAGTTCCTCAGCTTTTTACTTCTACACATTGATTTACACTTCAAAACTGCAAAATCCAATGGATGAATCCCTTTGGCTTTTTGTCGAGGGAGCTAGCGCGATGCTAACTTACAGGTTGGCCTACAATAAAACATCATCCCTGCAACACTCTATTCTGTTCCAAAGTTCAAGGCAGCATCACTTTTGTTCCACTATGGTCGACAACCCCTATCGAGATACATAACAAAAGAATGCTGCAAAAGAAGTTCGTTAAATGTATTGTTGAGTTGTTTCAGAGCCCTCTCCACACTACCAGTTATATAACTGGAGGAGCACCAAATCCTGTGCAATTAAGGTAACTTTACAAGATATTGGCTCTAAAAAACATATCAGAATCCCCTCTGGAAAACCCACCATGTGCAGTTTCTGTGCATTTGTATAATGCAACCTCCTCCTGAGGCTGTTAAAAGCTGAAACAGTCCCAAACACACTCCTAAGTAAATAACAGGGGAGTAGCTACTATGTGAAGGCGGCACAAAGGCAGATGGGGTGTTAAGTTGTTCCTCAGATTGTGAATTTATAAAAGAAAAAAAGAATAGATTAAACTTCAAGCTAATGCTCTATACAATTATTTAAATTATTTTAACTGGTATAATCTTTCATCAGGTCTGTGTGGGCGAAGTGTGGTTGAGTAACATGTTATTCACTTTCCTGTTGGTTTTGTTTCACTTGTTATGGAGCGACAGCTTATATAGCTACGATCTGTATTTCTTATTTCAACCTGAGCAGACCTCTAATAAGACAAAATAATTGTAAACATTTTAGTTTTTTTGCTTCCATGTGATTCCATTTGATCCCATTTCACAGTTCATCTCACCTTTTTCCTGCTTTTATATTGACAGGTTGGCAAATGTTATGATTTTCCTTACTTTGAGATCAATATTGCATCCTTGATTTAATTAACCAAATTATAGTTGCTTTCTTAAATGCAGATGTATTTATGGATTGAACACTGCCAGAAGTCTATAATTATTCCAGTGACACA